TTAATTTCTTTCCTAATCAGTAGAATATTTTGGAATTCGGAGAATTCATTTGTGTGCCAGAGCATCAAAAGATAGTGATTTTGAATGTGTGATCTTGTTAGAATATTTTGAAATCTTTCTCGGGAGAATTCATGTCATCTGTGTGCCGGAGATAGTGATTTTGAATGTTTGATATCCATATCAAAGGTGTTTTTCCTTTCCACCGCAGTAGAATTCTTTGAATTTTCTGGAGTAACTTTTAATTCTTTCTCAGGAGAATTCAAGTCATTTGTGTGTCGGAGATAGTGATTTAGAATGTCTGATATCCATAACAGAGTAGTTATTGCTTTCTGTCTCAGTTGAATTGTTAATTCCTTCTATATTAGTAGAGCATTGTGAATTCTCATGAGTCGATTTTCCTGGATTATTTGCTAAATCCATTTCCTGAAGTGTTTTTTCTCGCAAATCTTCCACAGTTTCTAATAGTTCCATAAGAACATCGTCTGTTATTTCATGTGCGTTTTTTAAACGAATGGCGGCGAAACCTTCGAGCACTTCCTTATTTTCAAATGCCTGGTAAAAAATGGATTGCTTTAGCAACTAGTCAACTCTTTTAAAATATGCAATAGTTATAAGAATAGTAATAATGATATATTATTAAAGCTTTTGCATCACGTAATTATAATTTTCCTGCCAATTAATTTTAATCAGAACTTGCATTGTTCCTTACTTCTCCGTGTTACTAAGTTTAAAGGAGAAAAATTACAATATTTTTTAATATAAATTTAGAGACTTATTGAAACGGTATGTAATATTAAGATATTTTTTTAGTGTGCAATGATAAGAAAACATTTTCGAAGCAAAAATATAGATTTTGCATTGCGTTTGTCTCGTGTTAAAAGTAACGATAACCTTATTTTCTACCCCTTAACTATTCCGCGATTTGTTGAGAAATTTTCGCACAGAGCTCTGCCAGCATTACAGTTGAGGAAAACCATAACACAATGCAAAATCTCTCTAGTAACTTCCTATAACTTATTTTCATACGAATCGTAACAAATAAATGCTTTGGGTTTTAAACAATAAAGTCACGTAATATATTATTTGGAAGGAAGATAATATTAAATACTTATAAATAAACGCAGCTTTTTTAAACTGTTTTTAATCAGTTTATGAAAATATCATTGCGTTGTTGTTTTTTTCTCTTTATGAAATAATTCTGTCAATGTTAAGGTTAAAATTTTCTCATTAGAGCTTAAAAATGTTATTTTAATTACTCTAAGAATAATTGGTACTTGCACTTCAAGAAGAAGAAGGTCACATGTACGCGCGCATGTGACCTATAACGTCAGCGCTAGTTGATCATTTATAAACAAAATGGCGTGTTAAAGTTTCTCCACTTAAGTTAGAATGTTAATTAATGTGAAGTTAATTAAATACGGAGCCGTATCACATATCGAAATTGCTGAAATATAATTCTTTCTCGTCTGCGTCGTTTACTTAACTTTCATCGATTTATTATTTGTTTACATATTTTATTGTAACCGTGATATATTTTTGTTTCGTGTACCTTGCAACTTCGATGCATAATTAGTTTGTTTGTGTTCTACATGGCTTCGTGTCTGTTTTTGTGTTAATTAATAAATATATAGTGAAAGAGTTGAAATATTTGTGAAAGAATATAGAATGTGTCACTTAAGAAAATTGATGCTTGGTTTACTGGAAATAAAATGGAAAAAAAATCATTTTCTAACGTAAACAAATGCCACGTTTCAACAACCAATCAGGATCGAGGTACCCACAGTACGTCACTTGCAAGTATCCCTTCTATTGCAAGTTAAGAAAAAACCATTATCCAAGTGCGAACGAATATATACATCGCCAACTCTTGAAACGATATAGCACGGTCTTCTTTTTGCTTTTAAAAAAAGCACGAATTAAATCTCTGTCCGACGTGTTTTGAACTATCTATGCAATCACGGATGATTGTTTGAACCTTTTACCGTAATGGTCTTTTCTGAACTTGCAACGGAGTATAATGTGTGAAATTCTTTCAACTTATTTTAAAAGCATTAACGATATTTTATACCTTTCTTCTAGCTGATACAATTAACACAATAGGGTATTTAGTTACGCATGCTGCGTTCTTCTTACTCTGGGGTGAGTAACAAGAATGCAATTTTCAATATTTTTATTTTAAAAATTTCAGTTTTATAAGTTAAAGCCTAACAAATGTATTTCTGAAATATATTTTTTGTTTACTCTTTGAACATAAAATCTCATTAATGGCGAGCATCTCAGTTGGCGAGCGCCAACGAGCAGGGGGCGAAGCCTCCTAGTATTCTTGAATTTTCAATCCCTTGATTGCTGAAAATCATTATTTATTTATTATCATTTTGTTTGTTGAAGGAAAAAAAGCATTTTGTTTTTTCTTTGTGTGTTGGAAGGGAGGGATGACCACTGAAACGATGTTCTGGTTCACTGAGTGGCGACTAAATCCCCAGATTATTTAATATTTCCCATTCCACCGTTAACGTGCCAGTTTTAAATTATTGATTAGCGTTTCGAATACACGCATTCTCATAAAATCGTTATAATAGGAAATGTAATGCATCAGATAATATGGTTTTTCAACGGTGAAATTTTGTCCACCTGTTGGTAGCAAGATATTGAAAAAATACTGATGTGCAGTGATACTTTAGAATTAAAGATTGCGTTTGTGAATTGGATTAGTTGCGAGTCTGAAACTTTTCAAAATTTCAAGCGTCCCCAAAGGCTTCCTGTTATTGAGAAGATTGAACTGATGCAGTTTTATTGATTACCGCAATCAGAGATTAATTAAAAATTTCAATATGCACCCTTAGTTTCGTACATACTTCTGGAGTGTAGTTGATTAATTTCCAGTTGAGGTTCTCAATAGAATGTAAGATTTCTCCAATGTTTCCTTCAACTAGTGTTCCTTCTTGGGTTGTGCTGTTTGATTTGCCAAACATTAAATGCTTGAGGTATTGCGACGACATACTAAAAATCAGAAACAAGTAAGATATTCCAAGTAGTAACCACAGAAAGATCAGGGTGACGTATAAAGGATATAAGATTCTTTGATGTTGTTCGGATAAAAAGCCTGTAAAATTATTCAAATGTATTTTTTATAAAATATCAATATTGAATTATCATTTTGAGGTAGATGATTGGGTTCAATCCTAAGAAATAATAATTAACATATTTTCACCAAATGCTGTTTTTCCTAACGGCACTTGGAGAAGCCGAGCTCGCCAAACAATTGCCTTTTGCGAATTAAGTCATAAAGGTGCACCTTTTGTTTGACAAGAGAGCTCCGCAAGGGTGAAAGTACGTTTCTGCTCAGAACACCACGAATAGCTACTGCTATGAAAAAAACGAAACTAAAACTAACTCAACTGTTGCCACCGGAAGTTTTGAATTTTGCAAATCGAAACCTAAACTATACCAGGAGGCAAACAACTCAGCACGCCACCACTGGCCCAGAACCCGCTTCTTCAACTACTACTGGGCTACCACCGTCCTTCACCGAATTATTTTGTAGAAAAACATTTTTACGTTTGGTAGTCAAACGTTTGAATATATAGATAGATATTGTTATTTTTTTATGAGATATTTGAATAATGGTTTGATCGAGGTAGACATAATATAGATGTCTGTTTACAACGCCTGCAAATAATAAAACTAAGATACAGTTTATCGTTCAACGTTCATTATCCTATACTAATGCTATGGGAAATTTAGTCTAACTTATTTTATTCAAAAATTTTTTTTTTATCAAATTCAAATTTTTGTAACATTAGGTAACCAGGCAATTTTTATTCAATCCTACTTTAGGAAGGATCTTTTTATTTCATGAAAAAATGAGCGTTATCTTAAAATAAAATTTAAAAAAAACCTAGGCAACAATCACATATAAAAGTGATCTGATAATTTTTTTTTATACATTTCTCTTCATTATATCTTTTGATGGTAAGTAGCATATTGTAATTAAAACAACTGCATGTTTTCAACTGTTATTATTCGTGCTCTTCTTTGTGATGTGCCTGATTTCTATGATGTTATGTGCCTCACTTTACACTAAGAAAGATAACGCCAATTCAATTATTTTTTACACCGTGACTAAAAAGTTCTCATACAACTTTTGAAGCAGATTAAAAATTATATAAGTGTTACTGTATACCCAATTCCTTCCAGACATTTTAGTCTAAGGTATAGATAAGCTATTGCAAGTCATGAGCTATACTACTTTTAATTTCTTCAGTGTCTGCTAAAATGAAAAGGAAGCAGAGGGTAGAAGAAATTCTTGCTTGGCACGCTGGAGATGCGTTTGTCCTTACAGACGAGAAACAAATTGTTTCAATCCCCAAAATGGTTATCAATTTCTATTGATAACATCCCCTACCTGATGTTCCACGTTATCAAAATTCTTCGTCTGGGATGGTTTAGGGGATTATTTCAAAAAGAGGCGAACTCCAATTAGTTTTCGTAAAAACGGGATTAAAAATCAAAGCCTAATATTGTAAAATTAGGGTTTTGGAAAAAGTTTTACTCCCAAGAGTCCAAAGTATTTAGGGGGGGGGGGATATTTCTGCTTCCAAAAAGATGGTGCTTCTTCTCTTACCGCACGTGTTGTTCAGGAGGGGTGTAGCAAACATTTAGCTGACTTTTTATCGCAGAATGAATAGCCTCACAACTTAATAATTATAAAATCACCAGTCTGAGTAAATTCAAAAATGTAATTCAAAAGGTATGGTAGGAAATGCCGATAGAAGACGTACGTGTCGCATTTGGTGCATTTGAGGCGAAAATTAAGCTCGTTAAGAAAGTAAAAGGCGGTATTTTTCAAAGCATTTATCGTGAAGATATTTAATGATTGATACTTTAGTTTAATACAAAAGGTTTTTGAATGGTTTATGTTATTTTATTGAAATAAAAATTTAACAAATGTATGAGAACTTATAGGTCAGCTTGTATATTTAACATTTGCAATAGCCTTAGTAAGATTGGATACAACAAAATTGGTTAATAATTTCAAATTTTATGCCATCTCATTAAAGTCTTAAGTTACAGAATTGAGCCACAATTTTACATAAGCTGCCAACTGACTAAGATCGTAAGTTGCAAGGGTGAACTGAAGTTTGAAATTTGGTGCAATCTTAGTAAGGTTGTAAGTTGCAAAGTCTGGTGCAAACTTAAACCAAAGTTTCAAATTGATTACCACCTTAGTAAAGTCGACAGGCTCTTAGTTTAATGATACACCAACTTGCGATTTCTGTCTTTTTCATTTGATTTAAATTTGAATGATTCCATTAGATTGATTTAATTGCCATTTGATTGATTTAAATTTGAATTATGATGCCGCTGAGAGGGTAAAATGCTTCTATAATAGTTCAATCTTAAGCCGATATTTAAAACTCTGTAGTTATAAGTTGTTCGAACTTTTAACAAAGGAGGGGAAAACCCATATCGTGTATTTAACAAAGTAAATAAAATTGATACCAGCTACATAATCACCGAGACCGATGGTGGACAATGAGATAAAACAGAAGTATATCGCCTCGCCGTATGTCCATCCTTCGATGTATCCAAATAAATACGCTGGAACAAAGATGAGTAGAGCTGCAAGGAAGATGAAGAAAGAACTGCTGATGAGGAAGTGGATTACTTCAGTTCCTAACATTATATTCGGAAATACATTCTCGTAGATTCTGTCGGTGTATTCTAGAAGAAACACAAGAGCATCTTTCAATTTCAAGCTAAGCATTAGGACCAAACACAAGTTCAAAGGCACTCCCAGAAGAATGTAAACAATACAGAATATCTTTGCCCAGGAAGTTCTTGGAATAATACGACCATAACCTAATACGTTAAAAATATTAATATTAGAACAATAATTCGAAGAATTAGATATATGATGAATATATCATATATATTCATCATATATAATATAATATAGATGATTTTATTACATACAAATATGTATTTTTCTTTTAACATAAATGACAGGAAAGTTGAAATATAAACTTGTACCGAATCTAGAGTTCCTGTATCTAACGCAATTATTGAGTTAGACGTATGAATAACATTTGTTGAGAATCAAAATTTATCGAAAAGAAACGGAACTTACAACTGCTCGTAGACTTAACAAAGTCATAAGTATTGTATTTTATTTTAAAATAATTGGTCTGTATTTGTTTTTTTTTTTTTTTTTGCTATGTATGCAAATGTTTTTATTTTATGCAAATTTATGCAAAATGTATTTTGCTATGTTTTTTTTTGTATTTTTTGCTCCTAAAATTATTTCTATTCACTAAAGTATCCATTATATACAAATAAAGTTTTAAATATTCATATATCTTATGAATTAATTAGATATTTTAACTATGATAGATATATTTTTATACTTTTATCAAATTATTCATTTATGTTATTATAAGCCAGATAAACACTAATTTTTGTTGTTGTTGATAAAACGTTAATTTTCTTACTGAGAAGATATTTCTAGTCAAAGAATTTTCAAACGTGCTAAAAAAACCAGTAATATTATCATATTTAAAGAAATGAAAATGATAATGTATTAACAATCTATACATAATAATAAAAGCGGCTGTGTGTGTGTGTGTGTGTGTGTCTGTAATCACAATATATCGCCCCAGAAGCCTCGCCCAGGCACGAAACACGGCACATAATTGTGTTTTGACATAATGAAGAAGTATTTTTTTTCTTTTTCAAAAATTTNATTAACAATAAGTAATATATTAACAATAAAGTTTAAATTAAAGTGAAAATAGCGAAAAACTTCCAACACTAAGTTAAAGGCGAAATTAGAAAGGAAATTCGCCATGTGTGGTAGCAGACTCCGCCATCTTTCTCTTTCAGACAATTTTGAAATTGTTTGTCATATCTCTCTACTATAGTTAGATACTCTGTTGCAAATTAAGAAAAAAACCATTATTCCTATGGAGAGATCCTGTTTGCATCTAAGTGCACGCCAAATGGATGCCAAGTTCTCAGCGCGAGCGTATATCAACATAGCTAACTCTTGAAGCGATGTTGCACAGCCTCCCTTTTGTTTGCTTCCTTATTTACAACAATAACCAATTAACAAGTTATAAGAATTAATTAAAAAAAATTCTAAAAATCGTAACAAATATGCGTGTTTCTGTTCGCACTTAAAGAAACTGATGGAAGAATAATAAACATGGAAAGGGAGGGGCCGAAATGTCATGAACCAACATGTTTCTGTGTGATTTAATATTTTCTCGAGAAAATTCTGGAAATGCCTGTCTGGAAAAATTCTTAAGAATAGTTTGATTCCATAGTTACACATGATTTAAAACCTAATCGGCATACGATGGCATTTCCGGTCACGGGTCTCTAGGCAGTTCTCAGTCCTCACGATGTGCATTATCACAACTCTGACTTTGAAACCGCTGAACTGAATAATTCTGTATGTATTACGATGTAATTTTTATATGTAATTCTACAGTGTAATTCTTATGTACGACCATGTAATTCTTTATAAATTCTGCTTCTCACCTATAGTAGTTATTAAACTCAGGGAGAATGAAACTTTTTTGCCATAATCATGACTCCAAGACGTGTCTGGATACTTCTTCTCTATACTTTTATTATGTTCTTGGTCAAAACTTGCTAAAATGCTTTCTTCACTTATATTATTTTTCTTCAAAATCTCTATCATATCTATAATAAATAAAATTTTAATTTAAGACAGAAGTTTGATTAATTAGATTCTAAGTTGATTTTCAGGGTTTCTTAAAATTTTTGTTTTGAGGATCCCGTAATATCTACGAAACTTTTGTGGGAGCTCCCCATTTAGCATTGCTCAAATCGGACACACACGTGTTTCTTCACATGTAATGTAATATACTATAGCAGTAACGGGCCATTAACCTGAATTTTTAATTTCAAGACATAGAAAGATAAGAAAATGTTAAAATAAATAACAAACTTAAAAATATAATCTATCTATACATATAATAAAATAAAGAATTTATTGTGTGTGTGTATATGTGAGTCTGTATACCGGATTGTGTGCAAACGTTAGACTCTAAAAATGTGAAATTCAACATGAAGATAATAAGTACAATTGTAAGCAAATGACGTAGCCCAATTTTCAATGATATTTTGAAATTCACAGACATTTAAGAAAGGAATTTTCAAAGGCATCGGTTCTTGAACTTTTTTGTCTTGTTGACCCCTTGCCATGTTTTTTGGTCTTGGGTAGACCCCCTGCTCACCTGATATTGATTTTTTGTAGATTCATCAACTTCAAATGTATTTTTGACTGGTATAGTGCTACTCACTGTGAAAGATTTAAATTTCTAACTGTAATGAAGTGTAGTGTGAAAAACTTTAGAAAAAAACTCATGTTAATTTCATACATTTATTAATTAAATTCAAACTAATTTAATTACGAATTTAATTCAATTAATATATAAATGGAATAAAATAGTGCACTATATAACCCGTACTCCGCTACTAATATTATAATTGCGGAAATAAGTTTGTAAACAAAACCTTAGTAGTGTATTGTCAGTCTGTTTATTACGTTTTCACATAAAAACTAAGCAATAAATCTCCGTGATTTTGTGCGCAAATTAAATTGGACGTCTAGCTAGCTAAAGAGTTGACACAGGATAGGCTACAATTTACAGCGGAAAAATGCTTTTTTGTTGCAAAATAAAACCTTACACGCAGAGAAAATAAAAACGTACGCGGACGGAGCTGTAGTCAACTGCTAGTTTATAATAATTCAGTTTTATATATTTAAGAAAATAATCCTAATAACTTACATTTTAATAAAATTTTTACTTCATAGCTACTTTTATAAATTATGTAGAATGTAGATAGATATGTCTTTATATTATAAGGTAGTATAATGAAAGTAAATAGATAGTATCAGTGTATGTTGATTATTCCATTCATGAAAGGCCAAAATTAAAAGTTTTCATTTCATTTCATTCCCCCATTTTCATTTCATGGCCCCCAATTTTTTTTTTCACTTGACATGGACCCCTTTCTGGCTGTCGTCGACCCCTGGGGGTCTATGTAAACCACTTTGGGAAGCACTGGTTTAGAGGAAATCATTGTTTTGAATTAAATTAAAAGCCCATTCAATTTTGTCAAATATTTTAAAGATAACATCATTAATGTTTGCTAGCTTATAGCTCTAATGAAAAAAGTTATTTATTGCGCGTTCTGTAATTACATAATTATTATTTTTCGTTGTACCATGTTATCTGAATGATCGTGATAGTATAAGCGGGCTACGACACCAAGGAAGTATTTGCAAAGTTATTTGAAACTACGTGTATATTTTATTCCTAGTTATGTTTTTAAAACGTGTTACTAAAAAAATAATTTAAATCAACGGTAATTGTAATAAAAAAAGTTTTGTACTGAAAAGCAAAATTAATAAAGAAATGGTATAATTTCGTTAAAAATAAGCCTAAAAAATCACTAATATTATTATTGATACCAATGATAATAGATTTTTAGTAATAGTTATTAATTAAAATAAAATAATAAGCAATGCACTAAAAGGCAAAATTTAATGGTGGAATGTTATAAATTCGTTTAAGATATCTTAAGAAACTGGCAAACTATTATTGTTGTTAAATATGCTAAATTAATTATAGTAATAAGTTCTGACTTAAATGAAAAAAATAGGCTAAGAGCTAAAAAGTGAAATTAATGAAGAAAATGTACATATTCATTACGGGGATGTGTAAAAAGTCATCATGCTATGAAGCTTTTCACAAAGGCAGTGTCATAGTCAATGTTACTTTGACGATCATGGATTGCTATGCAATTCACAATTCTTATGAAACACGCTACCTCCGTAAAAAAAGAATTGTCGATATATTTTTGAGGCATCACCTTTCACATACTTTGAATCAGCTTTGAAGAGGTAAAAGCACTCTGTCTACGTTGTTTTTCGTTCTCCTTCTCCAAGAAATAGAACAAAATCCCGCCAGATAATAAATATATAAAATACATTATGAACATGCATAAAACTTGTTTATTCCAACCTGAAATACAAGACAAGATTAAACAGAACATTAACGTGTAAAAACTGAAGCATCTTAATAGATGGTTATTATCTTGATTATTGAAATCAGATCAATAATTAATCGAACACTTATCATAATAACACAAAAAAGGAGGAAGTAAGGAAAAGTAGGCAACTTAGCAACTAATTCCTCCACATTCCAAACTATGTCTTATCTTTTCCCGTTACGGGTNAATCCAGATTAAAATAAAGGAAGCCTTACCGGCATATCTGGCGTAATTACCACTATAAATATTAAATACCAAATCACTACTATATTAGACATATTAACTTGCATCCATCTTAAAGTATTTTTAGATAGTAGAAGGTTAACATAGTCGATAGTTAAATCCCTACACATGCATATTTTAAACAATATAGGAAATTCTAATTGCTAACTTTGGTAATTCCTTTTTTTAGCTAAGATTCTATTCTTTTTTGTACACTTTTTTTATGTAGCTCCTGTCATTAATTTCCACAATCCGATATTATTCATTTCCACTACTGAATTTCGCCTATGAGTAACACCATTTAAAAAAAACTAATTTCCAATATAAATTAACATCTAAATTTTGTTGTCGGGATATTGGAATACCCAAAATCTTTTAGGCCGATAGATCTTTCTCTTAATAGTGTTTCAATCACTCTCTTCAGCAATAGCTAGCTGTATGACGGAAAACAGCGCCATTTTGTTCACTAAAATAAACAAACTCTTACCGGAATCTAGATTTCGCTTACTCTTAAACTTGCCGGAATGGGATTCGTAATAATTTCGCATCGGAATTTAGTTCCGAGCGGAATCAAGAGCTCATAATACGACTTAACTGACATTCACGGATTTATGACGTCACGAGAGCTTCATTTCGATCGGAATTAGATTCCGTGACGCTGGTAATAGGGCCCCAGGATAATTTGGCATGAATCAGTCCACTCCAAACCAGTTCCTAAAATGTCGTTTACTTTTTTTAATTTACATCGTTGTACTGCACGTTGTCAATGCTTAAATAAGCTTTTGTTGTTGGTGACTTTAACAATATTTACTTGGAAGCGCGAATAGTTTGATGTAAAGAATTTGACTTACCTCAAGTCCTGCATTGCCAAAGTTATTACAATAAACCATAAACTATTTAATAATCTAATTGATGGAATAGGTATCGTCAAAAAATCACCAAGCCTTAGAGTGGCCACTTTCCCCTTGAAAAACCTTATTATGATAATAAAGAAGATGAAGCAACTGTGAACACTGGATAAAAAAATTCTAAAAAGTCTGACTTTGAACAACTTTAGTTATAATGAGCGGATTTTCAGTCCTAAGTGCCAATCTTACTGGTAAAGCAGTCTGATTTAAAGTAAATGAATTAATTAGTGCTAACTATTAAGTCATAAAGTCAGACATTAGAACGTATTTCTTTTGAATAGATTTACTTTTTTCGTAACTGATCCGGGTTTATAACTCTCAAAGTATGAACGGTAACCCCAATCTGGAAAATATGTCTCTGCAGTTTTGATTGGGGAGTGGACGAAAGTTTATATCCCTTAAACTTAATTTTAATATTTTTGTATTTTGCCATTGCTTCGTAAATTATTTAAGAGAATCAAAATAGTTTTGCTCACAATTATAAAACACGTTTATCCAAAGACAACTCCTTGCAAAAAATTATAATGAAAATTACAGTTTAGTAATAATTATTAAAAATTATAATTGATTAATAAATATTTATTAATTTTATTGTTTTAATCAGTAGTTGTCCAAAAATATTTGATCTGCAAGGTGGGTAAATTACTTAATTTTAACTGATAAATTACAAAATTTGAACGAAATTTATCTCATAGTTGTGAATAAAAGACTTTTTTGAAATTTTATAATTCAGATATTATTTTACCACTATTCGACAGATTTTGCGGAGATTTCGTATTTTGCTTTTTAAAATTATTTAGTTTAAAGCAACGTTAAAATTTGTATGCGTCACAATTCTAAATTATTTCAACCGTTTTTAAATAAAGTAATAATAATAAAAAAATTGTGATCACCGAAAGGCGATCACAGGTTACCCATTGGCAAAATGGTTGTTGCCTAGTTTTTTTATTTATTTATTTTTATTTTTTATACATTCTACCGTATAAAGAAACATGGTAGCTGAAAATATCTCATAAACGCCGCAACATTTCAAGTCATATCTTACAAAAATTGCATCTATTTTGTCAATGGATAAAAAAATATCATTCAAATGAGGAAATTCTCTTTTATTCACAACTCAAGAAGTATTTGTGGGATCTCTCTGGTCCCATATCTCAAAAATAAACTCAACAACTTAAAGCATAACAAAATTAAAAGTGAAAAAAAAAAAAAGAAATTTACAAAAATTATCAAACTGCAGCACATGCAATGACGACGCATGCGCACTGTTTACTATTACTGTTTAACACAGTTGAAAAGTGTGATGACGTCCAAACAAGGTGCGCACGCCATTAATCCCAAAACAACACCCATTTTGCCAATGGGCAATAATTGTTAAAAAGTTTTTTTTTTTAAACTTGGAATTATAGTTGAATAAATAGGTTTTATAATTGCGAGCAAAAAGTTTCTGACTCGATTAAATTGTTCGTGAGATATAGTGAAATATGTAAAAAGTTAAATAAGCCTTAAGGGGCCTAAACTATTGAGCGCTTACTTGACTAAACTATTGGAACCATATGTTCCAGATTCCGACTACCGCCCCCTCCATACGTTGATAATCAGAAATTCGCTGGAAAAAAAAATTGTTTATTCAGAGAAAGTACGTTTTTATGTCTAATTTCGTAATTTAATTCATAGTTAGAACTAATTTTTTAGCTGTTTTAAATCTAATTTTTCAGCTTATTTGATTAGTTTTTAGTACGTTATAATTCGATTATTAGAACAAAAGTTATTTAAAGTGATATTTAATTATGAAGGTTATCTGAGGTAAATATCACTTCATGATGAGTTGGGGTTTCTATATTGTTTCATTTATGAGTTTAAAATATAAATGCTGAAAATGCTTAAAAAAATGAAACAAAAAGTTTTTGCACAACATTTTGAAAATTGTGTAACAAGGCTCGTGATTATACTTTTATAATTATTTCAAGAATTGAAATGAAATCAAAAATATTGTTTAAAAATTATGCTATACGACCCTAAAAATGTCCAGGCTAATCTCTTAGGGAAAAAAATTCTTTTATGTATAGCCGAGAAGACTTCTTAAAAAATAATGGTAAATAACACTTTTTCAAAGGTGTCATTTTTTAAAAAAACACTTAACTGTTCCTTAGTAATGTTTCCATTTAGCTACTTTACCAGTTTTCAGAATTTCCACAATATGACAACACAATACACAAACATCTTACTGATTAAATAAAATTTACGTTGTTCTTCACCACAGAAGCTTTACCGAACAATTTAAAAATGTGTTTTATCATTCCGTGCCTCAAGCCGTTCATATCTATTAAGGTTAAGGTGAAGAAGATAGGTAAATGTTTTAAGCATTTTGAGATATTTCCATCAATAAGCAAAATAAATTAATCACTAATCACTACTTAAAAATATTAAGACTAAAACTCTGTCGTGTTTTTTGAATCACCGTTTAAAATCATAACAGGAATTTAAAACTCACCTAAAAATATGAGGCGGCAGACTATTTTAAGTAAGTTAAAACAAGTTCGTCTCATTCTAACTTGCTTGTTTCGGATAGAGCTTTTTATTTATTTACTGAAAAATATTAACATGTTTTGAAAATTTAACTGTCGTGAAGTTCTCACATAAATTAACTTTAATAAATGCTCATTCTAACCAATGGAAAAATATTTAACGTACTGATGCATATTCTGTGAACTAAAATAAAGTATTATTTTACTTGATGTAGTTTGCAATGTTAACTACCGAAGAGCCATTTGCAAATTATCAATAGAAGTTCAATAATATTTTCTAAATATTATTATTAATAATAATAATAATAAGCTGTATTTTTTACAGCTGAATGAATTAAAATCTATAATCTACCAAATTTTTCTGCTCATGGATCTGTAGTTTTAGATAGAGCAAAGAACTTGAACCGTACGCCACAGCTTTAAAGAAATAGTCTACATAAATTGTAAATGTTTGTTTTGGTTTTGTGGTAATAGTTAAAATGATGTTTCACAATGTTAGCGTTTTGAACTTACGGATTTCTGCAAAATCTCTTATTTTCACTTACGTAAGTTTGATATTTTTTCACGGGTGCGGGCGCATTTCACCAAAACTGATGCGTGCGCCATTAGTTCAAAATGTAGAGAAAACATGGAAAAAATTACAGAGCAATAAAGAAAGGGGTAATAAGAAACGCAATAAAAATTCGGGAATTAAATATATAAACTTTGAGGAGTGCGAAATCATGCTACAGTCAGAAAGATGGCAAAAGGTATGGGACTAGAATGGACAACATATGACGCAATAAAATATTTATTCACTATAAGAAAATAGTCTTTTATTTTCAACAAAAAAAAAACGAAATCATTTTCTGAACAACCCAATAAGATAATGTGGGCTGATTGTATTAAGTTTAAAAAATTTCAAGCTGATTAGAAAACTCTGGACACTTTTCCAATTAGTCTGTCATGTAATAAAATGCATACAATATTTTCAAAAAGCCGCAGTTTTCTATCACCCAAAAATGTAACTGTATAAACTGCTTAATATTTTTTATTTATTACTCGGACTTTATCTACAAAGAATACAAAAAAAGAATAAATGAAAAAAACATCAACCAAAATATCTTTTTCTATTACAATTCTGAAAACTAAATTCTTGTAACGTTATTCCAAAGTAAATTCATCTGATGCCTCTGTTTTCAAAGAATAACCTTTTTTCCTCATCTCATTTACGGTAACAATATCTAAGTCATCAGCTGCTAGCACTAAACTGTTGAGTTGCATTTTTAAATAATCCGCTTCCGAGCTTAAAGCTTTATCAGCTCTCCAAATATCAATCTCTTTCTTGACACCCTAAAACAAATGTTTGAGAACAACTTTGTTACGTACAATAGTACTAACATTTCTGTGCAGTATCTCATGTCACAATATCTCTAAATAATAATTTGTACATTGCACAAAAAATAAACGAAGCACCCAGGATAACTTTTGATCTAAAGATCGGACTTTCGCGTACCTGGACTCAATCTTAAGAGTTCAAGGGGGTAGTTTCAAATATGCTAATTTGCTGACGAAATGTTAAGTTACGTTGAAAAACGTACTTTCTCTGAATAAACGCACCTTTTTTTTCGTGACATTATAATTTCTGACTCCCAAAATGAAAGGGGCAGCTGCAATCTGGGAAGTATGGTCTCAATAGTCTGGACAGGAGAGTGGTCGAAAATTTGGACCGCTTAATGTTGATTTTACTTTTTGCCGATAACGCGAAATAGCGCGAGCTTTTAAAGTGAATTGAAAAATTTCTCACACAGTTTCAAAATCTGTTTATCCAAAGGTAATTCCACCCAAAAATTAATTTTTAATAATTATTCATTACTTTTAATATTTTGTTTAATAATAGTAGAAATTTTTTTAAATAGCGAGGTATAAAAATTTTCACATAATTTTAAACAATGCAGTTTTTATAGCGCAATTTAAAATTTGAACAATAATCGGTTAAATAGCTCCCGAGAAATCGCATTTTTAAAATGCCAGATATTTAATATTCGATTTTTTAAGAACTATTAGATCGAATCCTGGCCAAATTATTAGGACCACATTTCCTAGATAGCTGCTATCCTCTATATTGTAGGGGTCAGGAATTTGAAACCGTTGAATAAAAGGGCATGTTTATTCAGAAAAGTATGTTTTCTGTCTGATTTCGTTATTTCAAATATCGTCTGCACTAACTACTTAGCCCATTTGAGGTAATTTCTCCGATTATTTAATGTCCCGCAGTGGACTGATCGTTAAGACACGGTTCCCAGCAGATCACAGAAGTCAAGCATCACTGGCTGCAGTCAGTGTGCACTTGGCATATCAGGAATNGGAATAATATTAAGTTAAACTGTGCTACCGTAAAGTGCTCGACTTCGCGTGCAGGTCGTCGGGCTACCGAAGCGGGGGTGCCATCCCCTCCGCAGAGGAATTGTGATGGCATGTCTTCGGATCATCCTCCGTTATGTTTCCCAGACCGTCGCCAATAGCCCATTGTGCAGCTCTAGTGCGACGTAAATTAACAACAACAACAACATCCGATTATTTGATCAAAATTTATTCAGATGTTTAATTTACTTTTTGTGCTCACTGTATAATGGGTACAAAATTTTAATCTCTGACTGTATCAACGTCAACGATATCAAAATCTGAAATCCTAATGTGGATATTTTCTCGCGCATTCCAAGTGGATAAAATTTTAGCATAATGATGTGACGAAAAAAGCCACTCCTGAATAATATCAACAAGGACGAAATCTCTGGAGGATTATATTGCTGGAATAGTGGATTAGATATCGCTGGTTTAGTGTCAACATCAATCTCAAACCTTACTGTGGATATCGTTTTACTAGGTCAAAGCGGTCAAAAGTGGATAAAATTTCAGCACAATGATTTAAGCCTCTCCTGAATAATATCAACGGTGACGAAATCTCTGGAGGATTATATTGCTGGTATAGTGGATTAGATATCGCTGGTTTAGTATCAACATCAATCTCAAATCTTAATGTGGTTGTTTCGCGAGGTCAAAGCGGTCAAAAAGCGGATAAATTTCAGCATAATGATTTAAGCCTCTCCTGGTAGAAATATCAACAGTGACGAAATCTATTGAGCATTCTATTACAGGTATAGTATCAACGTTGACAAAATCTTGAAACTCAATGCGGATAAAATCTCCCTTGGGAAATAGCAACGTAGCCAAAATATCTTGAAGATATTGTGGATAATCTATGGTATGAACGTTAATGAATTCCCAAATCTTTAGTAAATAAAATCTCATGAGATGGTTTCAAGACTGACGAAATTTCGTGAAAATAATGTCATTGTGAATAAAACCTCTCACAGATAATATCAACGAGTAACATAAACAACTCAAACCACAAAATGCAACTTACAATTTTTATCCGCTCTTTTCAATTTAAATTGCAACATATATTAAATTACAAATACAAGTAACTACGGATACGTTTAATCTTTAACTACGCTAATAACTTTGAATATAATTTATCCTGGCCTCGTGTAATTTTGATCACAAAGTAATTGGATACCTAATAAGTGACGTAGTTGTAGGTAAATCGTGGCATTTATCGATTCGGAAGCCAATCAGGTTCGACCCATACGTGAGGCATCGTTTATAAGCATTCAATTATATCTGTTCAAAATCAGATGGTTGGGTATAATCAGTTTACTTTATCTCGAGTTGCAGGTACCAATTTGTATAAATACATTTTTATTCACCTACTTTTGCGTCCAATAGAGATGAAATCTAGCGAAATTTTTTTTAACCCGATCTGTTCGATTAGCTAGAGTACTAAACTCTCTGATGCGGCTACAGGCCTAATAACTACACAAGTTCCAATCTTTTCTCTGGCTTATACAAACATAATTTATCATCACATATTACAACTTGTCCTGTTTCTTCATCTGGTATGCTCTAATTTTAACTGGACGAACTCTTGTGATGGATGGTTACAAAAGATTCAACCGTTTCCTGATAGCTACAATCAGAATTTATCCCCATATTATTAGAAAAGAGAATTTATTGTAAACCCAACATTTCGACCCACATAAATACTTTAAATAACCTGGCCAAAATAAATAAACAAGCAAAATCAAAACTAGAAAAAAGAAAATAATAAAGTAAAATAAAAACTAAAAAACTACGTTTTTACAGCAGACTAAGAGAAATGAAATGACAGATCTAAAATGAAAAACATTTGACACATCAACTTTTATGAAAAGTTATATAACCAACGAAAATTCGCCAAAGTGTCTTACGTTTTTAGCTTTTGGTTTGACAAAAAAATTATATAATTTCTTTCTTCAAGTGTACTTGAAAAATGTAGTTTTTATAATCTTTATGCTGGTTTATTTGCTTCCAAATCAATTCTGGGTATGGTTACCAGATCAAGCATTCCGAATAACAGTTTGTCAAACAAGTAGGTAAATGAAATACCAATAATGATAATATTCTTTCATTTCATCTTATGCTTACCATTTCAGCTCTCAGAAGTCTAAAGTGAATGTCTAAGCACTCAGGATGTACAAACACTCGATGAAATTCGAATACATTCTCTTTCATATCTACTACTAGTTCAAAGAGAAGGTACCGACTGAAAACTTTAGATAGGAGTTCAGCTGTGTAGATAAAGAACGCGATTGCGTGCAGCAACCAAGACAGCAGAAGCAATCTGTAGACAACAAAGTACGTATTCCTTTTCAAATTTTGACCTGTAATATAGCACTTAGTAGTTATACTCTCAATAAAAAATAAAATATACCACACACGAAGTTACCCATTCTTAACTTACTCCTTCTGATACCCCTCCCATTCGCAGATACTGGTTTCACTTAACCCACTTACACTGAACATTCGTCTCACTGACTCCTGCCTCTTTTGTGAATTCGAGGTGCATCCATTACATTCATATTACCTCACTCACAGTATCTTCGTTACTTAAAAAATGATTGTTGTTGTTGTAGTTTATTTACATCGCACTAGAGCTGCACAATGGGCTATCGGCTACAGTCTGGGAAACATTCCTGAGGATGATCCGAAGACATACTATCACAATTTTGATCCTCTGCAGAGGGGAGGGCTCCCCTGCTTTGGTAGCCCGACGACCTGCACGCGAAGTAGAGCACTTTTCGGTAGAACAGTTTAACGAGGGCCGATACCGGCCACCCTCGGTCCCTACGCAGGCTGATCAAAGTCTTTACGATCAGTCCACTGCGGAACCTTGAAAAATTAATTAAGCCTTTGAGGCAAATGAGAAACCGATGTACCTTTTATATATTTTTTTCTGGCGCTCTAATTGCAAGTGAAAAGTATATTTTCGTATTTTTTGAATTAGAGAAAAGGATTTTATAGTCACAAAAAAATCTTTCAGATTATCGGAATTATATTTGTACTAAAACATAAAATCCAAAAAAAAAAAAAATATGTTNAAAAAAAAAAAAAAAAAATGAGTTTGAATTTTTTTTTCATTCCTTATTTAAATATTTATCAGTACTTGTAATTTTATAAATTAAAGAAATTTCATTGACGAATAAATGTTTTTCTTAGATTTAAAAACTGCAAAAAATTACAAATTTGAAGAATTATTGTTTGGAATTGAGGCGTGTTTGAAAGGTTTTACCTTAACGCAGAAAAAGACACAAAAGTCGTTTCATGCTGTATTTCATAACCATACGTTATTAAAAAGCTAAATGTAATATTTTTCACTTATTTTGGCCTAAATTAATACAAAACAAGGAAGAAGTATTAAAAATATGTTTAATAAAAATTCTGCGTCTAAAGGTTAACAAAGGTTACATTTGATGCTTTTCCAGATTTACTATAATCGTCGTCTAACAGTCAAATGTTTAATTTCACATTGAAGATATGTCGCATAATAAGAGCCCACAGAGGACATGACTAGACGTGCGATGAATGAACTCAAAATTTGTACTTTCCGTCTATCTAAGAAACGCAGAATGACAAAATACGTATGCAACAAGACCCTTTGTGGTGAGCATAGTTTTAACTACTGCCAAAAATGCAAACGATAATTTTTACAATATTTCTATTCTTCAATTGGGTATAATATGAAAAAAACACAACTACTTCGATTTAGTAGGAACAACATATGACGCAATGCTAAACGAATGGAATTTAGTTGTTGTTTATTTAGTTATTGTTATTAGTAGTTGTTGTTATTTGTTTTAGTTGTTGTTGTTTATTTAGTTGTATTTAGTTTCAATAACTTTTCTTTATAATGCAATAAAATCTGGCGAGCAGCTATT